CTGTAAACTTATTTGTATGGATCTTAGCCGCTTTTAGACCCGTCTGTGCTTCTCAAGGCAGTTTGAGAATGAGTGGGTGGAGTTAAGGTGAGTTAGGGCTAGAGTCATAGAAGCCACCCAAGCCCGCCCATTTGAGCCCGCCCACCGCCGGCGGAAGTCAGACAGAAAAGGTTGCACGTGGAGACGCAGAAGTGGGGAAGGAGAAGGGTTTCAGAACTTTAGCAGAAAGCTTGGAGATAAAGTAACTCTTATTTGCCCGTTCTCTGGCAGAAGTTCCCGCGACTCTGTTATGCGGCCAGATTTACACTGTTATGAGACCAGGTTTACTGGTGCCTGCCCCTATCCACCAATATATCCGCCCTTTTGTCGCATGGCTGTAGCTGAGAGAAAAAATAAAAAAATTAAAATAACAAACCGGGATCAGACTACAATCTTAGGCGTCCCCAAAGAGTGGAGAGAGATCCATGAATCAGCTCAAGTTCACCATCCTCTTCGTCAAGGGATGTGAAGGGCTGCAGCTGCACCATAGTTGGTCCACCCGGTAGACCAAGACATCATTTACTTTCTCGTCAGAAACGAAAATGTGTCATTGCTGGTGCAGCTCGAGGACAACCCCCGGGGTGTCCGTAGCTCAGACTACAACCGCATGAGAACAGCGGACTTACTGTGGTGAAGAATTATGGCGGTGGCGGTGTGGGGGTCCAGCGGAGGCGGCGAGGGACGTGCTTGCGCTCGCGGTCTCGCTGGATAGGGGAAGAGGCGGCAAGCAGCAGCAGTCAGCAGGTCCTCGGTGTTCGGTGGTGTATCTGAGTCTGAACGGCACCAATGTTGGTTATGCCACCGAGCTGCCCCTCATGACTGGTCGCCGCCCGCGGCGGCCATGCCCTCGGAGGAGAGTGCTGATTAAAAGAATCATGGTTACCTTTTTAGAGCTTTATTAGGGGGGAGAGAGAGAGAGAGAGAGAGAGAGAGAGAGAGAGAGAGAGACAAGGGGGGAGAGGGAGAGAGGGGGACTGATGGGGGAAGGAGAGGGGACAGAGAGCCCACAGAGGGCCCACCCGCTTTTTAGGCTGGGAAGCCGGCGAAGGCTGATGACGTAATTAAAGGACGTAAATAAGGACCAAATCCTTACACATAGTGCATCTGAGCCTTGCAATATAACAAGCCCAAAGTCTGTATTTTCCCCCTGCTCCAAAATCCTTTGTGTGTAACTCGAGATGGCACCGGTGTTTCCAGCGATCCTTTGGGCAGAGTACTTTGGCACCTGAGAGTCAAACTGTGGGAGCAATTTCTTATCTGGCTTATGCCTGAGATTAAACAGGTGATGTTGGGTATTTTTGGAACACTCGGGATCCAAGTCCATATCCTTATTTTGTGCATACTGTACAATCCAGTTTATCTTCTTACTCAGAATGGTTTTAACTCCTTCATAAGTACTTTTGGAAAGCTTGGATCGAGAACAATCCTGGTTTGCAATTAAATGATATTTTTCAAAGCAGTCTTTATGGCCTCTCAGTGATTTGGTATGTAAAAGATTAGATTTTCGCACTCCCTTGAGATTCAGCTCAAAGCAGATGTGGCAGAAGGAGAGCGTCTCTTGGTCTGTTCCCAGTTTACAAACACTGCAGATGTTGTCATCATTCAAGTCAATGTTGACAAACTGCTCCTCTGCGTTCATAGTGCCCCGTCCAGCTCTGGGGGCCGCCGTCCACGGGCCACGATCTGCATTATTGTTTCCGCCACCGACACAGCGCAGACGGCCACGGCCTGTGCTGTATTTGTTTAATTATGTAAAAATGTGTTTCATTTGTTTCATTTTGCCTGCCTAAAGCACCTGATTGGTCTAATAAAGAGCTGAACGGCCAATAGCCAGGCAGAGAAAAGCTAGGTGGGGTTGGCAGGCAGAGAGAATAAATAGGAGAAGAATGAAGAACGAGAAGCCAGGGAGTCACTAGCCAGCCAGCCAGGTACGAGAACCAGTGAAAGTAAGATATACAGAAGGAAAGAAAAGAAAAAATCCCGAGGCAAAAGGTAGATAAGGAGAAACAGTTTAAGTTAAAAGAGCTAGCCAGAAATGTGCCTAAGCTAAGGACATGCATTTAAAACTAATAATAAGTCTCTGAGTCATGATTGGGGACTGGTTGGTGGCCCAAAAGGAAAAGCCTGGTACAGGGAGGCACTGTGGTCATGTCTACAAAGTTACACGTCTCATCACTTGTTTTCTTCATGGCTGGAAAGAGTGTGGTGAGTTGTGGATGAAAACATGCAAGACAGAATGAGCAATGTCAAGCTTGGAGGGTCCTGTGCAGCCACAGAAGATGAGACCAAGAAGGGGCAAGTGATAACAGTGACAGGGCAGGAGAGAAAGGAAGAGGAGGAGAGAGAAAGCCTGAGTCCAGCACTAATCTCGGATTCCTGCTTCAACAGCTCTTCCAACTTCTGGAAGATTCTATCATGTTTCCTGCTTTCGTGACTGAATACATTCTATTTTCTCTCCTGTAATCTAGACTCAGATTTCTCTCACTTGTCATCAGAGGACCCCTCCCCAGTACTTTCTCCTTGCTTGAATATGCGCATCTATAAATTGGATAATCAGGGAATTGTACCCCCGCCCCCACCTCAGGCTGCTGTGGTGAGGAGAAAGCTCCTAACACTGAATAACTCTTATTATTATTACTGTTGTTGTTGTTATTTTATTATCATCATCATTTTGTAAAGATCTGGAAGTTAGAACTCTATTGGAAGTGTATGTGCAGAGTCTGTCTTTAATATTATGAAAGGTTCACCAGCAGGCATGATTGATGGACTCTCAAGTTGAATTAGAGAAATAGCTTCCTGACCCAAGCCTGGCTGACCAGGCCTTTCAACCCATGCTTTGCTAGAGAACACTGATAATCAGGCTGGATGCTTACACGTCCAGGCTTGAACTGTGTTTTAAGAGGGCAGCCTGGGTGAATTCTTTGAGTGGGAGCCTGCTTGCTACCCTGGGGCCTTTTGTCTTCTCTGCCTGACAAGGCTTTACCATCTCAGAGGGAACAAAGGACATATCTTGTCTTGTCTAGAGCACTCTTAGGGCATTATTTCCCAGAAAAAGTCGAACCTCTTATTAATGCATCGCAGTCTTCCCAGGTGATTAGAGCAGGCTCTCTCTATTCAACTGGTTTCGGAAATGTTCCTCCTAGGAGAGCAGAATCCCATCTTGGGCATTCCATGGGTCTTAAGGTGATTCTATTATTCTGAGCTGTTTTGCAGTGTTGCTACTCCCTTCCCAGGTGAGCAGGGACCCAGCAGCATGTGGAGATGTGGCTGAGTGCCTTTCTCTACAGATCTTGTTTAGAAAAAATTGGAGGAAGAGAAAGTCATACTTGCAGGGCCTTACTGATTATTAGCCTGGCTGATTCACCAGTTACTCTCTTAGCCTCAAAAAATGTACAAATATTTGAAGGCTCATCACTTCGCTCCATAAAGGTGTTTCTGTTAGTGCCGGGTAGCTGATTCTTACTGGAATTCCGCCAAATACCTCTGCAACACAGAATTGTGGAGGGTTTAGCTTGAAATCAGTCCTAAGAATAGATAACTTATATGCAAGACTGTAAAGTGGTCTTTGCCTTTTATACACTCCAAATATGTGAGGGTGTACATGAGCATGCGTTCACATAGAAGCCATTGTTTCTCAGACTGTCCACTTGGATTATTTTTTAAAGATTATTTTAATTGTTTGTGTGTGTGTGTGTGTGTGTGTGTGTGTGTGTGTGTGTATGTGTGTATGTCTTTGTAAATGTATGCTACATGTGTGCAGATGCCTTCAGAGGCTAGAAGTAGGTGTTGGATTCTCTGGAGTTACAGGTAGTTTTAAGCAACCCAACATAGGTGCTGGGCAGTCAAACTCAGGTCCTCTGGAAGAGCTTCAAGTGTTCTTAATTGTTGAGTTAACTCCAACCCCACTCTGTTATTTCTGATACTGAATCTCTCATTGTCCTGGAACTCCCCAGGTAGCTTAGGGTGGCTGTCAGGGGTCTCTGCTCTCCATGTTCTGGGATTACAAATGTATACCACCATGCCAGGCTTTTAACACGGGTCCTCATGCTTCCATGTGAGCACTTTACTGACCAAGTCACTTCCCCAGCCCCCATACTTTGTAATCTGACTTTAATGATCAGCAAATGACTCCTGAATGACTGCGACTCTTAGGTGCTGTGGCTGTTAGTGAGGGAAAAGCCGCTTTCCTTTAAATGACCCCAGCCAGCCTGTTTTGAACAGTGCCACTCCAGAATGCATGTCCATTCACATCCTCAGTGTGACTTTATTTGGGAACAGCTTTTGCTGCCATAGTTGAGTTTCTACACAGCTGAGCGGGCCCTTGTCCAAAGGTGAACACTCTCACAAGAAGAGGCACATCACCCACAGACGATGGAGAGAGATGAGCGCAAAGCTTGGGCAGCCGGGGAACCCAGTCTTAGCACCTCCCAGGTGCTGGAGCAAGCGTGGGACTGAATTTCTCCCCGAGGATTAGGAAGTGAGAGAGGCTGCTGCAGCTCAGCTTTGAACTGAGCAGGCACGTTTCAAGAGAAGCGTTACTCAGTGTGCTGTATATTGTTATGGCAAGTTCAACAAGTATGTTCTTCAAATAGGCACATCCCTCCCCCTCTTCAGGAAGGTTATTTTTGGAAGCATGGGGTGTTCTGTAGCTAGAGTTTTCCTGGTCCTGCCTGGCCCACAGTCAGGACAAATATCTCTCACCCACCAGTCCCACAGCTGCTCAGACCCAACCAAGTAAACACACAGAGACTTATATTACTTATAAACTGTATGGCCGTGGCAGGCTTCTTGCTATCTAGTTCTTATATCTTAAATTAACCCATTTCTATTAATCTATACCTTGCCACGTGGCTTGTGGCTTACCAGTATTTTACATGTTGCTTGTCCTGGCAGTGGCTGGCAGCGTCTCTTCCCCAGCCTTCCTGTTCCCAGAATTCTCCTCTCTCTTTGTCCTGCCTGGCTACTGGCCAATCAGCACTTTATTTATTAACCAATCAGAGCAACACATTCATAGCATAGAGAACATCCCATAGCAGGGTTCATCAAATCAAGAGCAGCAGAATTTGTCCAGATGGAATCTCATATGCAGCCTCCAACTTAAAATGCATATTCTTGGGTGAAGTCTAGTCAATCTCCATCAAATGGATGGGGACACCAAGCTAGACACAGGAAGTAGCTTGTCTCATATATGCCTGCATGGGTCTGAATGTGGGGTTCTTCTTTCCGGGTTGTGTTAATCAGCTGTCTGGTACTATAACAAATATCCAAGGGAGATCGACTTACAGTGAGAACATTTGCTAACGGTTTGGGAGGCTTTGGCACGTGGTCCCATTGCTCTTGGCTTGTGACAGGTGGGTACATTATGATATGGGACAACATGGTGGAGCAAAGCTGCTCACCTCACAGCCAACGAGAAGGGAAGGAAGGAACTAGGGCCCCAGTATCTCCTCCAAGGACATTTCCAATGACTTCAAGACCTCCCAGGAGGCCCCACTTCTAAGGTTCCATGTTCTCCCAAGAGTGCCAAGAACAGGGAAAACCAAATTTTTAATACCTGGGCCTTGGGGAACATATTTCTCAACCATAGCAGAAGGTGAGGGTAATAACCTTAGATATCTACCAGGGTCAGGCTGGTGAAGCAAATGTGCAGGCCGCGGAAGAGAGCCCAGAGGGCCTGAGAGCAGCTGCCTCTCATCTGATGGCTGCAGTGGGGGCAGTGAACCCAGGAAGGTGCCGTTTTGACTTTCCCACATGAGAAGACAGGGAACTGTGTTTTTATTTAAAAAATTGTTTTTGATGTTAATTTTGTGCCTCTGTCAGCGTGTGGGTGTGTGTACATGAGTACAGGCACCTGTGGAGGCCAGAGGTATCTGACAACCTGAGGCTGGATGCCTCGACAGTTGTGGGCCACCTGAGGCACGCGTTGGGAATGGAATTCGGGTCCTTCACAATAACAGTACTTGCTCTTAACTTCTGGGCCATCTTTCCGAGCCATCATATTTGTATTTAAAACCATGCTTTTAAGTAATGAGAGCAAATCAAAACTTTTTAAAGGCATCCCATGACCCCTTCACATACACACACCCAAAAAAATCCAGACGAAAAATGAGCAATCCTGAGTTTCCTTGGACTTTGCCCGTTTGCCGTGACAGGGATGACAGGAATGTCCAGCTGAGCCTATGGCAGTGGCTGCTCCAGGGTCTGTCTGTCCTCATTCATCCTTCTTCTATCATGAGGCACACTCAGCTGCTTGTTGATGTATAAACTGACAACTTTTCTATGGTATGCTCCATGGCATTAAGGGGAAGGTTTTTATTGTAGATTTGAGAGAGAAAACAGCCAGAGGTATCTGGAAGAGTCCAGAGTAGAGAGAGAAATTAGACTGACCATGAACGGCAGACTGGACCTGGCCAGGACTATCTGTGAGAGAGGGGAGAAGAACAGACAATAGAGACTAGAGGGAATACAGCAAGAGAAGCATGAGCTGGGAAGATAGATAGATAGATAGATAGATAGATAGATAGATAGATAGATAGACAGATAGACAGACAGATAGATAGACAGATAGATAACAGTGAGAATGGCAGGGTTACAAGGAGAAGGAGTGGCTATGGGGAGGGAAGCCCATGAGCTGGAGGGAGTTTAGGGAAGGAGGTGAGAAGGGCTAGGATGCCAGCATGGACTCTGACATGTGTAACAGGTACTTATGATACTGAGGGAGCCTGGAGGCCAGCATGCACTTTAATATGCTAATAGGTACCACAGAAATCCATATGCCCCTTCTGTGAGGAAAATGACTCCTTTTGGTTGAAGGAACCAGTTTCACAAGTTCCTGGGGGATGTTGGCTTTTATCTAACCATCAGAAATCCTCCTACAGTCCAGGTTGAGCCCATTTCTGGATATTTGGACTGCCTTTTGGGGTTTGGGGGATTGTGGTTTCCTTTGGTCCTGACAGTTGGGGAGGAAGGAGAGGGTGGGAGGATGTTGAGGCAGAGAACTGTTTTACAACCAAAGTATTTGTTTTGTTGAACAAACACTTGTACAGCACCCCTTAAGTGACTACCTGTTCGAAGCACAAGCTACCCCTCCCGTAGACCAGAAGGTCTGACACGTCCTCTACAGGCTCATGTCTGCACTTGATGCACAGATGCGGACACTGGCTTGGATCCTTGAGGATATGGGGCATAGCTTCTGGACACAGGACACTAGGGGTGAGCTGTGGAGGTTACACCTGCCCCAGTTCTGACATGCCCCTTCTTGCTATCTGCTCCGCCTCACGTGCATGAGTTGGGGCATGCTGCAGATATATTAGTGCGGGTCTGAGAGGTTGCACATCTTGTGCAGGGCTTTGTGGATAATAAGAGATGTAGACAGAATTCAACCCCCAGGAAAGCTGATTCCAGGGTGAGTGTCCTAAGCCTCTGTTTCAATTGCCTTGGCAAAAAAAGGCAGAGGAAGCTTTGCTTTCTGTTAAATACAGAGTTGTCCTCAAAATGGAGTGCAGAAAAGAATGCCAGAGCAACCTGAGTTTGCCCACAGTTAAACCTGGTACAGCTGAGTAGGATCTGGCTTTCTCTGTGTCAAGTAATAGCACCCCTGGCCCCATGAGCCCAGCCTGCATGTGTTTTGTGATATTGTAGGCAGGGAAGATGACTGCTAAAACCGGAGAACACAGAGGAATGAGGCATTAGTACCCCATAAAAGATAATTAGACCCAGAGAGATGATTTTAAAGGCTTCCTGGAAAAAAAAGGCAAACACAGTTGAAAGCATTTCCAGTCCTCAAAAGCATTCTTAGTGGTTGACAAACCTGGGATGGGGTGTGAGGATGAAATGAGCATGCGTACTTCTGTCCAGAATGCTTTGCACACACTCAAGGAGTTCCACGTGGTGAACCTGCTCTTTTTCTTTCCTTTTTTTTTTCTTTTTGGTACAGATGGTGCAATCAAAATAAATTGATGAAACTTGTCAGGTTTGGGCATTGATGTGGACCTAGCTGGGTTGGTAGATGTTACTGCAAAAGGTTGATAGGAGAATCGACCTTGGATTTTTCAAATTCAAATGAGTTTTGTGCGTGTGTGTGTGTGTGTGTGTGTGTGTGTGTGTGTGTGTTGAGTCTCAGGTTCCTGTATCCTTTGGTTGGAGTTTTTTTGGCAGGAATGACTTTGGAATAGCAGACAGACAAAGGAGGACAGACATTGGTGTGGTGGCTGTGTCAGGCAACCATGCCACAGCAAATGTGAGAAGTCTGAGATTTTTCTCTTTTCTTTTGGATTTTATATGCATGAAAGGGTCATGGGATGCCTCTAAAAAGTTTTAATTTGCTCTCATTATTTTTAAAGGGGTGGTTTTAAATACAAATACAGGGGCTGGAGAGATGAGTCAGTGTTTAAGAGCTGATAATTGTCTTTGAAAGAACCTGAGATGGATTCCTGACTTGGGAATGATTTTCTTGTGTGGAGGAGAGAGATAGGTTTAGTTCCCTTAGAATGGAGATTAGGGCTGTGGGGCTAATGGGAAGGAAAAGCCTAGGGGGAAGAAATGTGGCAGGAAACACAGCTGACCTGGGCTAAGTTAATCTCTGACTGACTGTATCAGCCATAGAGTGGGGACTTTGAGACATTATCAGACATGACACTGAAACCCGGAGTGGCCAGAGAAAGCTCAGGAAGTCTTATGGAGGAGATAGGCAACACACTTCTGGCCCGAGGGAGGAGTTTAGAGTGCATATTTCGTTGATTCAGAGATTAAAAATACATACATAGCACATGTACTGTGTCTTCTTGTGCTGCACTCACGGCAGACATGAGTAATCAATCACAACAAACTTTCCTATGAACTTGGATGGGACAACTTCTACCAGTGGATCAACTTCTGTCAAGACCTCACTTGTTTCCTCTTCTTGATTGCTGCCATATTAGAGGCATGCTGTGTAACATCTAGTTAAGTTTCCAGTGTCAGGCTTCTTGGTTTGAATCCCAGCTCTAGATCCTACTTGGTGATCACTGCATGGTGAGCAGCCATATCAAGCCCAGTTTCTACTCCTGTGAAACTGGGGCAGCACTGGCATCTGCTTCATAGTTCTGTAGTGGTGATGATGCTGTTGTCTGTGTGAGTGTGAGAGTGTGTATGTGTGTGAGTGTGAGAGTGTGTGTGAGAGTGCCAGTGGGAGGGAGTCTGCATGTGTGTGAATGTGAGAGAGTGTGTATGAGAGTGCCAGTGTGAGAGTGTGTGTGTGAGTGCCAGTGGGAGGGAGTGTGCATATATGTATGAGTATGAGAGTGTGTGTGAGAGTGCCAGTGTGAGGGAGTGTGCATATGTGTGTGAGTATGAGAGTGTGTGTGAGAGTGCCAGTGTGAGGGAGTGTGCATATGTGTGTGAGTATGAGAGTGTGTGTGAGAGTGCCAGTGTGAGGGACTGTGCATATGTGTGTGAGTATGAGAGTGTGTATGAGAGTGCCAGTGTGAGGGACTGTGCATATGTGTGTGAGTATGAGAGTGTGTGTGAGAGTGCCAGTGTGAGGGACTGTGCATATGTGTGTGAGTGTGAGAGTGTGTATGAGAGTGCCAGTGTGAGGAACTGTGCATATGTGTGTGAGAGTGAGAGTTTGGGTGGGTGCCAGTGTGAGAGAGAGTGTATATACATGTGAGTGTGAGAGAGTGTAAGAGTGTGCCTGTGGGTGAGTAGGTGTGAGAGAGTGGGTGTGAGAGAGTATGTATATGTGTGAGTGTGCATGAGTCTATGTGTGAAAGTGTGTACATGTGTAAATGTGAGAGAGCATGAGAATGTGTATGAGAGAGTTTGTAGAGTGTGTATATATGTGTGAGAGGTATGCATATGTGTGTATGAGTGTGAGAGTGTGTTTGAGAGAGTATATGTGTGAAAGTGTGCATATGTGTGAGAGAATGTGTGTGAGAGAGTGTGTGAGAATGTGCATATGTGTGTGAGAGAAAGTGCATATGTATGTGAGAGTATGTGTGTGTGTGAGTGTGCATGTGCATGAGTGAGTGTGAGAGTGTGAGAGAGTATATGAATGTGTGTGTATGTGTGAGAGTGTGTGTGAGAGTGCTGCTGTGGGATGTCTTTCTGTGACTATGTGTTGCTCTGATTGGTTGATAGTCAAAGCTGCATTGGCCTGTGGCAGGGCAGGATTAGGTCAGCGGTCCCTTTGAACTGGAGCCGAGATGAAGGGTGGAGTCAGGGGAAACACCAGCCGCCGCCAAAGGAGCAACAAGGTTCCGGCGGGTAACGCATGGCCACGTGGCAATGCATAGATTTACAGAAATGGGTTAAGTTGCAGGAGCTAGCTAGCGAGACGCCTGAGCCGTTAGACCATACAGTTTGTAGTTAATACAAGCCTCTGAACAATTATTTTATAAACAGCTGCGGGACTGTGGGGCTGAGCAGGACCGAAGAAACATGGGACTGTGGGGCGGAGTGGGACTGGAAGAACTTACAGCTACAGTGTGTGTGTGTGTGTGTGTGTGTGTGTGTGTGTGTGTGTGTGTGTGTGTGTGTGTGAAAGTGTGCTCAACCAAGGGCCTTTCGTTCCCCTATAAAGGGTTACATGTGGCTTTAGAGATGGAGTTGGTGTGGGTTGGAGGCGAGTTTAGGGGTGGAATGTAATTAGAAGATGAGATAGGGTCTAGAGCCTGCAGGGACTAGGGACACAGGAGGGGCTGTTGCCCTTCATTTTATTTTAAATTGTGTGATGTATGTATGTCTCTGTATGGATTTGTGCATGAATATAGTGCTTGTGGAGGAGACCAGAAGAGGCCATCAGGTCCGCTGGAGCTGTAGTTATGGACAGTTGTGGACCAGGGGCCATGGCTGCTGAGAAATGGACTCAGGTCCTCTGGAAGAACAACAAACACTCTGAGCTGCTCTGCATCCTCAGTACTGTCCTTTCTAAGGACAGCTGAAGCATTTAGATGGCCACTTTCTCTAGAAACGCCTCTTCCTCCTACCCCAGTCCATCTCTGGGGAACTGTTGAGGGCTTTTGTTTGCTTGCTTATCCGTTTTTGAGACATTATCTCACTGTGCAGTCCAGGATGACTCGGAACCTGAGATCCTCCTGCCTCTGCTTCCTGAGTGATGGCATGACAGGCACAATCCTCATGCCTGACCCTCCCTTCAAATGGATTGCAAGTATTGCCTACCAGGAAAACTTCCCCTGACACCCGCCACCACACACACACACACACACACACACACACACACACACACACACACACATATTTATATGCCTCCATTTGAATTCTTCCACCTCACAGCACTCTTTCTGGATAATTCCATACTTCTTTGTACTCACCTGGATCCACCTGGCTTCCTCTGCCAGACTAGGAGCTTCATGAAGGCGGGGAATTTATTTGTTTGCTTGCCATTATCTGCCTGGAGCCCAACTGCCTGGCACACTGTGGATGCCCAATGCTCTGCTTTCTGTACCCAATAGAGGGACCACGGATTAGAGCTGTGCTCTGGAAACGTCATCCTGCTCATAGACTCAGGGTTACTGGGCTAAGGTCGACCCTAGGAAACAATTGAGAAGTCACCTTGGCCTTGGACTTCATACCAGGATGACTTTATAATGGAGGAACCTGAATGACGCTGAGCCAGGAGTGAGTTCGGCCTCAACGCTTCGCTGCTTAAGCATTTCTTCCTCTTCTTTTTGCAGCTGCTTCCTTCCTTCATGGAGCCTCCCAAAGCAGAAGGAAAAAGGTGACTATAAAACAGAACTATTTTTGCAAACTGAGCCAGGGGAGGGCGTCTCATTCCTGAGCTAATCAGAAGTGGGCAGAGTCCCTCTGGCAAACCTTTACCACCTGTCCCTGACTAAGGTTGCTCCCAGCCCTTGAAATCCTCACCTTGTTCTGCCAACTTTCAGCTCAAAATGCCCAGTAGGAGTGTCTTCTGAGCCCAGTGAATTAACCACCAAGTGGAGAGGAACAGGCTTATTGAAGTCGTCAAAGCTGAAAGCAAGTTTTTGAACTGCGCTGTGTCCTGCAGAGCATTTTATGAATATGCAGAATCAAACAGGAACTAGTGGGAGCCAGAGGGAGCCACAGAAAGCCTTCTTGAAAATCCCAGCCAATGGAGGCAGGCCTTCCAACTCATTAAAACACAGGGCAGGCTATTAGAGACACTTTCAAAAGGCGTCTTCTACTGAGTAATGTCCTGGGTGGTGGTGGTGGGGGGTGCCTCACCCTTTGCTTTGCTTTGTAGAAAGTTTTCCAGGGGCCACATCAAATGTTCTGAAGCGGGCATTGTCTCCAAAGGCCAGACGCAGTGCTGGGCGGTCTTGCTGGGGCTGCATTGAAATCGGATTCAGGATCTGGGCTTTCAAAAGGCAAGCTTCCCTTCTCTTCTGGGCGATCAGTCTAACCTCAGTTTGATGGTCTCCACTCCACAGCACAGCCCATATGCTTGCTGCTTTTGATGGCGATGATTCCACCTAAATCCCCTTATTGAGCCTTTATTTCCTAATTTTAGTTTTAGCTCTGAGGGTTTTTTTTTCCTATGTATTTGTGAACTGTGAATGATTCCACCCATATCTTAACAAGACTCTCCTCCCCCAAATTCTGAAGTGCCCCAGTGAGGAGTCACCTTGAAGATTTTTCAGCAGAATTTGGAGTCAAGGGTCTGGGGGTGCGGCTTGGTTGGTAGGGTGCTTGCCCAGCATGCATGAAGCCCTGGGTTTGGTCTCCAGCACCACATAAACCATAAACTGAGCGTGAGGGCACGTGCCCATGGTACTGGAGGAAGGGAGGGAGCATCAGGGGTTCAAGGTCATCCTTGGTGAACTCACCACACAGTGAGTCTGAGGCAAGCCTAGGCTGCAGGAGACTCCTCCCACAAACCCTTCCCCACTTGGGGAGCTTCCAGACATTGTCATCTCCTTCTCTGATGTTCAAATCCTGTCTTCATTTGGGAGGGTATCCAGATAGCCTTTCTTACTTGACCTTTAAATCTACAGGAAGCGTCTACTTCCATTCCTCATGCAAATCTAGAAAGCTTCAGACACATGGAGAAAAATATGATTCCACTGGAGGAATACATTTCTGCTACCTTGTGTTGTTCAGGTTGCCTTAGCCAAAGGATGAGGTCTAATTGCCAGATAATTAGACCCGATTGCCTTCAGCATCTGCACATGTGTGTCTCATAGTTTGCACACACGCACCAGCCCATTGCTGTGGAGATCCATGCACGTTCTTTGTTATGTGACTCTGAAGTGTCCTCTCACCCTGACCCTGGAGGGACAAGGGACTCCATTCGGCCAGTGGGATACTGGCAGATATGAATACACTTCCTGTTCAGGCCTGTTTGCCTGGACCTCTGTCACTGCAGTGAAAAGCACATTCTTGGGTGTGGTGATTTAAGTGAGAAATGTCTCCCACAGGCTTATGTACTTGGACACTTGGTCCCCAGTTGGCTCTGGTATTTGGAGAGCTCATGGGACCTTTAGGAAGTGCAGCCTTACTGGAGGAAGTGTATCGCTGGGGGTGGGCTTTGAGGGTTTATAGCCTTACTCTGTTTCCTACTGGCTCACTATGTTTCATGCGTACAGATAAAGACAATGTCAGCAAGCTTCTTGTTGCATCTGCTGCCATGCTTTCGCTGCCGTTATGGACTCTTCCTTTGGAACTGTAAGCAAAGATAAACTTTCATCTTTAAGTTGCTTTTGATCATGGTGTTTATCACAGCGACAGAAAATTAACTAATATACCAGGCTGGACCACTGGTACCTGGGAAAAAATGACAGATAGTTTGGACCTAAATCAAGCCCAAGACATTAAACCTGAAGTGGATTCTTAATGTGGTGTTATTTTAGCAACAGAAACTGCTCTGTTCTGGGAATGTAACTGAGGTAATGATGGCTTTGCCTCTTCCTTCCTATTGCAGGGACTGTGGGAGAGACAGCAGCGTGAACCAGAGGGGGCGCGGCTGCACAGACAAGGGCACGTCAGCTGAGCTAGCTCCTTCAGCAGACGTCTTGAAAGCTTTCAGTCAAGTCGGGAGAATGGAGTTGGGTCTGTCTTTATCTCGGCTTTTCTCTCTGTGAAGTGCTGACAGATTGAGTGTTGACGGGCAGCTCCAAGAGTCGGCACACTACTGCCTCTGGTTCGCCTGGTGACGGGAGCACTTGGTAGAACACGGTGGTCCTTGGTGTGTGTGTCTAGGGAGGCTGCGTGGGAATGAAGCGTGTCGAGGCTCGCTGCCTCCTCAGGCCTGGAGCCGAGGCTTTGTGGCTTGTCTTTTCAGATACACTAATTCTTGTTGTTTCAGTCTAAATGTTACCTGTGTGTCCCTGCAAATCCATATTCAGACACTTGATTCATAACTAATTTTGGATGGTCTTGAAAAGTGTCCGTGTGTCTGTTTGTCTGTCCTCCTTTCTTTCTTTTCTCCTCTTTCCTTCTCTTATTCTTTTTATCGTTTTCTTTCTCACTTTTCTCTGTTTCCTCCCCACTATCCTTTCTTTTTTTAATGTCTTTCTGTCTTTCTTTCCAGGGTCTCACATTGTAGCCCTGACCTGCCTTGGACCGGTGCCAAGCTTCACCCTAAATCTTCCAAGTGGTGAGATTATGGGAATAAACCACCATAGCTGATTTTAAAAGGAATTCATTTGAGGGACTGAATTTATTTGAGATATTCAAGTTGTGGCATCTCCTTGGTACCACGGATAATAGTTCAAGGAGTTCTATGTTTGAACAGCCCATCAGTGAAGACTGGCTTCTAGTGTGTGTGTGTGTGTGTGTGTGTGTGTGTGTGTGTGTGTGTGTGTGTGTGTGCGCGTGCTGTATGCCTGTGCAGATACACACATGCACACATGTATATGGGGACAGAGAACAATCTCTTGTTCCAAAGGCTCTCTCTACTTTGCCATTTTATGTTTTGTGAAACAGAGTTGCCCTCTGGTACTGGGGCTATTGATGAGGCTAGGCGGGCTGGCCATTGAGCCCCAAGGATCCACATCTCTCTCTCCTGTTTTGTATTACAAGAGTGAATTTGTTGTTTTTACCATGGATTCTAGGGATAGAACTTAGATCCTTATGCTTGAAAGGCAAATGATTTATCTACTGAGCTGTCTCTGCATCCCAGTTTGCACATTTTAGAAGAAATGAAAAAGAATTTGCAAAGGGGATGCTCTATTTAAAATATTTACTGTCCAGTTGGCCGAACATGCTCAGCAGCCTGTGGTTATAGCATATACCTGAATCAGTCTGTTTGGATGTGCGAGGCCACTCAGCCACTCACAGGCCCAGTGACTTTGGGAAAATGACTTTGCCTCTCATAATCTTCATCTGCAAAATGGAGTTTTTAATAGCACTTGCCTCCTGGGATTTCTGTGGAATTAAATAAGTTCCTGGATACGGAGTCTCAGGCCAGCGCCTGGGACCTTGTAAGGACTGTGTAAGTAGTCTCATTTCTCCACCTGGGCAGATGGGAAGACATGGCCTAAGCTTCTTTTGTGCTACATTGACTAAGCAGGAGTGTTGGCATGCTGGCTTCAACTCCAGGTTTGTTTAGTCCCCAGTGCACAATGCACTGTGTTCTTAATCACAGGTAGAGGTGGAACTGTATAGGTACAAAGATGCTGAAGAGAAATTCAGGCTGGCCAGGTCCAGTGAGCAGTTTGGCTGTCCCCGGTCTTCGAGCTCCTCTGGGAGCCTGCTTGGTTTCTAGGCAAAGGAAGAGGCAGCAGCTTTTACCAAGGTGTGTGGCAGCAAGCTGCTTTCCGATGCCATCTTCAAGCAGCTGCTGCCACTCCTGACTACTGAGTCACCACCTTGGTCTGTCAGATGCTGAGTGGGGAGTGGAGAGAGGAAGGCAGCAACTCAGGAAAGAAAATCCCTGAGAAAAGCAGCATAGGATGAGGACAGATTTATTTCAGTTCATGGTTTCAGAGGTGTCTGTCAGCAGTTCCTTGGTCCCGTCACTGTGCAGAGGTGCCTGCAGAGGCCAGAAGAGAGCACTAGACGCCTTGGAGCTGGAGTTAAGTGTCAGAGCACCATGTGGAGGAGGGCACAGTGGGGCTTCCCTCATGCCTGGCAGGACAGTTCACTTTCAAACTGTAAGAGATGGATGCTGGGAGTTTCTGAACAGGCTAGAGTGGACTGATCATGGCCACTGTTGGCCACTGTTACTAGGACTTGGACATATTTAAGGCCATTAAATCTTCTTCTTTAAAAAAATTAACTCCTCTTAAAATTTTTCTCTTTTGTTTTGAGAATTTCATATGGCTATTCAGTGAAATATAATGATTTGTAGCTCCCATTTACAATCTCTCACTCACTTCATATCCCCATTAACATGCCTCTTTCTCTCTCCCAACTTGATAGCTTTTATTTATTATTTATTTATTTATTTATTTATTTATTTATTTATTTATTTGGTTTTTTGAGACAGGGTTTCTCTGTGTAGCTTTGCGTCTTTTCCTGGAGCTCGCTCTATAGACCAGGCTGGCCTCGAACTCACAAAGATCCACCTGCCTCTGCCTCCCGAGTGCTGAGATTAAAGGCGTGTGCCACCACCGCCTGGCGATAGCTTTTATTTTTGATAGCCAACTAAATGCAGTTAGTCATGCCCATACATGTATGAGTGTAGGATAAAATGTCTTAATTTCATTTATTTATTCATTCATTGTGTGTGTGTACACCTGTGTACACGTGTGTGCACACATGCAAGTACACCTGTGCCAGGTTACCCATGTGGAGGTCAGAGGACAACTTTCAGGAGCCAGTTTTCTCCTACCTTGTGGGGCCTGAGGATCAAACTCTGGTCCCCAGGCTTGCAGGCAGGCATCTTTATCTGCTGCACCGTCTCCCCAGAACACCACTAACCCTTAAGCTTCCCCTTTTTCTGTCTGGGTGATGGAAACAATGATGGTCCTGTCTCATGTAATCCTTCCATTAGCTGCCTGCTCCGGCCTCTCAAGTGCTTAAATTAAAGGCATGTGCAGCCATC